TTTTTGAGACAGGTTTGCTTTGTAGTTCAGGCTGGTCTTGAACTCACTTTGTATCCCAGGCTGGCCTTGAACTTGTGGCAGTCCTCCTTTGTTGGAGTGCTGGAATTACAAGCGTGTGTCAGCATGCCTGGCCTGGCCGATGTTTTAAGGCAGTCATTCTGTAGCCTAAAGGGAGGTGAAGGCCAGAGGGAGATGCAAAGTCCTGGATGTAGAGATAGTTTTGGAATCAGGAACCCCCAAAGGAGTGAGTTAGAAAGACAGATATAGTAAGATACTCTTAAAATTGAGATAATAGTGTGTGCTTACTGGGAATAAATTGTAGTTAAGGTGTCTAGAGCATGAGGGATGTGTGGTTGAAATACAGTGAAGGATATGATCATTAGAGACCAGAGTAGCAGAGCATCTTCCTCCTGGATTCTGAGTATGAGAGTCTGTAAGAAAGGAATTCGGTATCAGTGTTGGGGAGTAAGACAGCATTCCACTGAGATCTTTGATAGATACGGCATAGTGACCCAGGAGTGTTAGGAGGAAGTGAGGTAGCTGATGTTGATGGCAATGGTTCAAAGGTTTTGGGGTGAAAGAGAGAATACTCTCAATGTTTTCCTTGGAGGATAAGGAGTACACTTCAATCATGTTTAAGGCTCCTGGTATAAAGGATGAGGGAGATAAATAGCTACAAGTTGGAAGTTATGCAGGAACGAGCCAGTGTACAACAGAAAGGTAGAGCCTGCCCCTAGAGAAGACACAGGCGGTGCAGTGTGTTAACTGGAGTTACACTCTAGAGGCTGTGGTAAAGCTTCCCGGGTTAGGAATAGTGGGCAGTGAGGACCGGCTGGAAGGGGACATATACACAAGCGCTGTGGGCGCCTGAGAGTTCCTTTTGGAGCAGACAGGTTGGGCAGACTGGTAGGCGGTTTTCAAGGCTAATTTTGGTGGGGAGGTATTGGTGAGGCGAATGCAGTCTAGAAAGACACACTTGTGCCCCAGGGGCCTGTCCACTCACAATGCTACTGGGGAGGCTAGAGGAGGATTGTGTTAACGGCAGGAACTAGGTGCTGTTCAGATTCTCTAATCTTAACTTTTTTTTACATTCCTAGACACTGCAAAAAACCTTTGATTTCCAACTGCACAATTCAGATAGCAACACCTGGGAAAGGCAAGAAATCAACGCCAAAACCCATCCCTATTCTAGCAGCTGGATTTTGCTCAGACAAAATGTCCTTGTTGCTTGTGTATGGCAATTGGTTTCAGCCTACTATTGAGCGAGTGGTACGTAGATGCTTCTCTGGAGAAAAGCAGCACAGAGTCAACCTGCCTATGGGAGAGAATGCTTCTGAAAGTGACAATTGGCTACTACTTACCAGAATACTTATGAAGTATTATGTTCCGTAATCAGTGGACCTTTCACTGGGTGGTTTATTGTATAATTTAAAGAACTGTGGCAAGTGCAAGGTTGAGTTCGATTTCCAGTACCCCCTCAAAAGAACTTTTAATACAAACAATATAAACTATTTTAGTCCCTTTTAACATAGCAGACACTGCCTCAGAATATTTTAATAGTTTTTTCAAGTACTGTACAAGTACAAAATTATAAGTTACAATAACATTTTCTTCCATAATGTATTGCAAAAATCTTTAAACCTTTAACAGAAAATGTATCTTTTTTGAAAACGCAAATATTCATACATTTACTGGGCAATTAAATTTGTGAAAACTGTTTTTGTTCAACATAATGTATCTAAAATAGCATTTTCATAGGAAGTTGACAAACAGAATACAGCATTATCAAGATTTTCCCCTCCTTGTGGTATCCCGTCTTAGAAGTCTGGTATACGTTTTGTTTTACATTTACAAATGTTGGTCTGGACTAGCCACAGCTCACATGCTTAGTAGCCACATATTCTTAGTAGCTACTGTTGGGTCAGCACAGGTATGGCGTGTATTGAATCACATAAAATGTAAATCTCGGGAATTGGAGCCCTTAGTGGAATTGCTGGGTAGAAGTGTAATGCACAGTACAATGATTTTCCTTTGTTTACCACAGAAATTTCCCAGAAGACTTAGGAGTTAGTAGCATGTCGAATGGGTGGTTTTTTTTCTTGTTTTTTCGTCTTTCTGAGGCAGGGTCCTGCCATGCAGTTCAGGCTGGCCTTGAGCTCACTTTGTAGCCTAGGCTGGTATCTACTTGCAACTATCCTTGTGCCTCAGTCTCTCAAGTGCTGGGATTACAGGCTTACCACGCCTGGCAAATAGGTGATTTCTTAAGGTTGCCTTTGTGATACTTAGTAAGACTTCCAGGAAGACTATGAGTAAAATATGACATGGCCAAGCAAGCTTTTTGTTTGGTTTATGGTGTTGAGGATCAAACCCAGAGCTTTGTACGTGTTTGGCAGGCAGTCTTACCATATGCCACACCTCCAGCCTAAAGAAAACTTTAAAAACATTTAGAATATACACAGGGCTTAATTTTTTAAAAAAGTGGCAAGTGTGACACTCTAAAACACCTTGCCATATGTTGCTCTAGCTACTGTTACCTATGTTGTCCTTGCAGACCTTTGTTATACGTAGAATTCCGCACAGCCCTGCACCTTTGCTGGTGTATATGTCATTTGCTGCATGTGACTCCTCTTCCTGCTGCAGGTCCGCCTCAGTATTTTGTCAATCAGCAGCGCTGTCTTTGATCTGCTTGTAGGAAATTTTAGAATAGGATTATTTATTTTGAACATAGATTTTTTTCTTTACAAGGATGATGATCTGATAAGCTTTCCTTAAAATCTGCCATGTTAAAAAAATGTTTTGGCCTTTCAAAACTATAAATGTGAAAAATTCAAGCCGAATGTTCATATTGATGGAACTATGTATTTTGCCCAGTGTCTTCATAGTTTACCCATATTTCCTCAGCTGCTGTCAATCTGAGTGGTGTTTATGGTTGGTTAACAGTTTAGTGATGAGCCCTACTTTTTATTTGAGACAGGGTTTGCTCTGTTGTTCAGGCTGGTCTTGAACTTACTGTGTATACCAGCTGGCCTTAAACTTGTGGCGATCCTCCTGCCTTGGCCTCCTGAGTGTGGGACCGCAGGTATGGCCACTATGCCCGGCCTCATGTTGAGCCCCTGCATGCCTTTACCAAATATTTTTATAAAAATGCAGTCAGTCATTGTCTTTTATTTTGTTTTTATTCCTAGCTAATTTGTTTGACACTCCTTTTTTCCTTCTCTGTCTCCATTTAAAAATGTATTTCCAGGCTTTAAACTCCAAAGACCCTCATATGTGTTTAGTAAGAGATATTTCAAATTGCTGGGCTCCAAAAGTAGAAACGGCTATAACAAAGGTGAGTACATTTCAGATCTGAGAGTAAGAGATTTGGATGAATGGATTTATAGTGTTGCTTTAGCCTGCCTTACTGTATCTTTTTATTGTTTAATAGCATATTGGTTTTTTTTTGATTTTTGAACTGGGGATTGAATTTACAAACTTGTGCTTACAAGGCAAGCGCTTGTGCCGCAGAGCTAAATCTGTTATCTTACAAATTTTGTGTAATTATGGTCTTAGATAGCAAGATTATAAAACTATTTCTGTACTTGGTTTGTGACTGAGTGGATAGATGATGGGTTTAGTTCCTCCCTGCTCACTGAGGACACTTGCCTGGGAAAGAAAATATGTAGGAACAATATAAATCGTAGCAGTGAGTAATTTTATCAAGGTTGAGCATGTAGCTCAGCAATGCAGCACTTGCCTGGAAAGCGCAAAGCCCTGAATTTGATTCCTGGTACCAAAAAAGAAAATAGAAGAAGTAAAAAAAAAGAGCCTCCACCCCCGAAAAATAGAAAAAAATTATCAATCTTAGTGCTTAAAGAGCATAACTTTGTTGGAACCAGTGCTTTATTTCAGGGTGAAATAAAACCACAATGGGGCCAGAGTTTGTTGGCACACACTAAGCCATCATTGTGATGCCCCACTCTGAGTGTAACTGAGAGTCTACGCGTAGATTTCGATGTTTGGCAGTTTAAGGAAAAGCTAGGACATGCTATGATGACACCCACATGGTTTCGCTTCTGGCTGAGTTTCAGAGATGACACCTTTCTCTTGGCTGTCTGAGCATTTCTGGCAAAGAACAGATTCTAGTGGTAGGCATAAAATGTCACTCTTTTAATCATTTTTCAAATCTGCATGTCGGCATAATTTGTGGATATTGTTTTCTTGGTTTTTATTCTTAATGAGGCATTGGAAGCTTTAAAACCATGAACTTTCAGATTATCCTTTAAAAACTTATTTGCCCACATCTAGTTAAATTTTATCTTGAATTTCCAACATGGTAAGTAAATTACACTGCATTTTCTGACAGAAGAGCTAGTGGAAAGCTGTTTTGTCATTGAGGAAGCATAAGAACTAAGGCATCATTTTGTTTTCTGCACCCTGATACCTGTTTGACAGGTGAGGACACCTGTGATGAATGCTGAAGCGAAAGTTCTGGTGCCTGGGATTCCTGGGCATCACGCAGCTATCAAGCCGCCTCTTCTACTTACTGAGGAAGTAGGGGGCAAGCGGAAGCCAGGGGGAAATGAGGTAATGCAACCGCGTTTACAGATACCTGTATTTGGGATGTAAGAATGCTTGGAAGAGTCCAATAAGAATATAGAAGAGAGCAGCTTGTCTCTTGAAATGTGCTGAGACGGCTGCTGTTGCAGTCTCTTCATCCCAGGCAGCTTAGCTTTCAGAATTGTCCTTTGTTTTTTGAGATGGGCCTCACTACATGGTTCAGGCTGCCCTTGAGCTCACTTTGTAGCCCAGGCTGCTTGGAACTCACATTGATTCTCGTGCCCCAGCCTCCCAAGTGCTGGGATTGTAGGCGTGCACCATAGGCCTGAATGGTCCCAGAATTGTGATTGTCACCTTTGCAAGACGCACTTGGTCACTGTTCAGAAATGGAATTTTTTTTAAAGTCAATTTGGTCATTTGTTAAAAGTTGGGTAACAAAATCAGGTAAAGGAAGCTAGGATTTGCTGTGATGACTTTCATTGTGTTTCGCATGTTTCTGAGTTCCAGTGATACCTCTTTCTCTTGGCTATCTGAGCAAATCCTGCCTGGTTTTGTGCTGGTCAGTTTTCATCAAAATGGTTGTAATTGCTTATTGTGCTTATAAACTTCTTCTTCTTCTTCTTTTTTTTTTTTGTGCTCCCAAAACCCTTCTGTGGTTACTGTATTGATGAGGAGTCTTACTATCTTCCATTCACAATTTTTATTCTTGTCTAAGTAATCTAGAGCTTTAGTAACCTGTGATGCAAGGAAAAGATTGTTTCTTTAGCTGTTTTTATATGTCTGTTGGATAGAGGAGTTAGGCATAACCTAACTGTTCATACTGAGATTCTATTGGAAGGAAATGTGAATCACTGTTTTTTTTGGTTAAAGACTACATTAGGTCTTGTTTTGTTAACGTGAACATTTGTTACCATTAAGTTGTCATTTCTTTCCTGTAGGTTAGCATTGAAGAGCGCCTGGGAGCCATGGACATAGATAAAAAAGAAGGAAAAGATGATCTCTTGCAGACAAATAGCTTTCCAGTTTTGCTCACCCAAGGTTTAGAAAGTAATGATTTCGAGATGTTAAATGTAAGTATTACTGCAGTTTTTCAGTGATTACAGTGGTTTTTCTTAGGTGACATAGCATACTTAGAGTGAATAGTCACTCTATATTGCAGTTTTTATTTTACTGTTGTGTGAGGTTGTCAAATGTAGGTAATTGGGTGGCATTATAACACATAGTCACCAACCTGCAGTGGGAATGTACTGAATTCTTTTGAACCTGGAATGCATTTTCTCATAGAAACACTGTTTTGAATTGTTAGAGTTTTAGGCTTTAGTTTAAAAAAGCCTTTATATACATAGTATAGCTGAACTGTAACACTCAGCATTCTAGATCACAATTTATATTTTTTTCTGTAGGAAAATGCGTTCCTGAGTTTTTACTCTGGATTCCAGAAACTTATTTCCCCCTGGCCGTGAGAGGGGGCGGTGAGGTGCAACCTTGGCAATGGGTAGGAGGTTCCAGGGGAAACTGAAGAGGGTTGGGGGTGATACTATAAAATATTTAGAAGAAAAGTATTGGAAATTGTAGGAATCCAGGCACTTATAATTTCTTTGTAAGCTGGTAACTGCTTGTTTGAAGTTGAGAACTGCTTAGTCCTCATAAATTTCAGTGTGACAGTGGTCTATATCAAAAATTCAAGTCTGAAAAACAGTTAAAATACTGCCTGGTAAGGTGAAAGTAATTTACATCTTTAAGTGCATTTTTAATGACTCATAAGTTGTATAGTTCTAGTCAGTATAGATGTGAGAATTCTATAACCTGTGTATGGTGTCTCTGATTTTACATGATCTAAATGGTAATATGTTATATTTGTGCCCAAGATGATTTTTCAGAGTATGAGTAGAAACCAGTAAGTCTAAAAGGCTAAAATTACTTTTAGAATAGCATGGGAATATATGTGCTTTAAAAATAGACTTGACTTTACCCTGGCTTAGAAACCTACGTGAGAGTTTGATGAAAAAGAATCTATAGGAAACAATTGACATATTTTTGGAATGTAATAAAACTTATTTGCTATCATTGCCTTGAACCTCTTTTTGGGTGATTCAGCTACACGTTTTTCTTAGAACAGTGAAGTGGATCACCAGGAACCCATTACTGAGCTTCAGAAATTGTCCGTAGTAGGGTTTTAGTAGCCAGTGTATCTTGTGCTCTTTGGTGTGGCCACATGCCTCCCCACGTTATGGTAAAGCAGTTTAAAAATGACTAAACAGGGCGGGGGGTTTAGTGGCATAAGTGCCTGCTTGACAAAGTCATGAGTTTGATTTTCGGTACCAAAAAGAAAAATGAATAAACATCATTTCACCTACAGACATAGCCCTGTTCAATGTAAAAACTCCTCAGAAAAACATTACCACAATGCATTATCATACCTAATGCAGTAAACAGTAATTCTTTAAAATTATCAGATGTTATCAGTGTTTACATTCCCCTTGTGATCCTATAAATACAAATCTCAATTCTTTTGTGTACTTTATTCAAAATAGGATCCCAAAAAATTGTACACTATCTTTGGTTAGTATGGCCCTTTTGTGTACTTTTCCTTTTAGGCAGCTGTGTTATTTCCTCACAGAGTACCCTACATGTTGTGTATTGCTGACTGCATCTCTGTAGTATGCGTGGTGTTCTATCATCATGTCATCTTTTGGGTTTTTTTTTTTTTTTATCTTTGAGACAGAGTCTCCCTATGCAGTTCAGTCCAGCATTGAGCTCACTTGGTAGCCCGGGCTGCTCTTGAACTTGAGTGATCTTCCTGTCTCGTGTGTGTGTGTGTGTGTGTGTGTGTGTGTGTGTGTGTGTGTGTGTCCGTCATTATATCTTCTGTAGTTAATTTAGCATCTCAAAGAGATTCAGTTTAGACTCTTGACAAGAACACGTGAAAGGTGTTAAGTGTGACTTACTGGATGTCAAAGGGCAAATGAAATGGTATTTATGAAACTTGTGAAGATTCTTGTTTGCAGTTAACTTACTTAGAAGTAAATTGTGGTCTAATTGAGTAAAAATGAGCGTACCAGAAAAGACTAAAAGTTGCAGTGAAGAGGTCTTCAAATTACTTCTTTTTATTTTTTTTTTTAGTCTTTTTCATTTTTTATAGGTACCAGGGATCGAACTCACAACTGCCTGCTTGCAAGGCAGGCGCTTATGTGGCTGAGCTAAATCCCCAGCTCCAAATTACTTCTTTTTAAAACTCACAAGTATGGCAATACTTCCATAGTATATTATGTAATAGATTGTACATTTATGCTTTTTATGCTCTGAACAGTATTTTCCTCCTGAAAATGATATTCCCATTCCTGGAAGCCGCCTGAGGGTCCATGTTCAGAGGACGTTCAGAGTAGGAGGGAGGACAGTGAGCCATGGGAGGGTACAGCATGGGAGCTTCTGAGAGGGAGAGCGTTAGAGGAAACTTGCTGTTTATGTGAGAGTCTAGGAAGGTAAGTATAACCCTGTGCAGCAGTCTCTAGCTTATGCAAAAGTTATTTGTGGAATTTATGGAATACGCAGAGATAAGTATTTAAAAAGTTATTTAAATATTTTTGAAAGTGTCTCTTAATGATACTATTGTTGTATCAAAGTCACAATAAATCTAAAACAGATTAACTGTGTCTCCACATTGAAAATTGTAACAGTTGAGAGGGATTAATGGTGACGTAGGGAAATGGAGGTCTAACCACAGTTCTATGGGTTAGGGTACTTGGTGGTTTACTGTGAGGAATTATGTCCTAATTAATCTTTATATTCAACTCTTGCCAATTAAAATCCCAGAAGCCATTATCAGTTACTTTTAGAATTCTAGCTGAGCATGCTGGTGCTTCCCTGTAATCCCAGCTGCTAGAGAAGAAGATTGCAAATTGGAGATCAGCTGGGCAACCCATCTTACAATAAATGTTAGGAAAAAAAGAGACTGAGGATGTTGTTCATTGGAAGAGCACTCGCCTAGCATGCCTCAGGCTTTGTTTCAACTCCCAGTACTGCTTTAAAAAAAAAAAGACAGTAATTGACAAACCTTACATTTATGGAAATGCAAAGGGCCAGAAATAGCCAAAGCAACAGTAACATAAAGCACAAGTTGGAAGAATTAGCCTGTCTGATTTTGAGGTAAAGCTGTGTAATCAAGCTGGTGTAATATTTGTGGAAAGAAAAGAAAGATTGAGGAACCAAAACACAGTTTAAAAATAGCCTATACAATTGGAAAAGAATTAATCTTAGCTTCATTTTACACAAAATCCATTGTAAAATGGACCATAGACCTTTTAAAACATAAAACAGCTTTAGAAAAAAAAAATCAGGTTTCTAGGATAAAAGGATATGTTTCAAAAAGCTTGAAAAGTTAACATAGAAGATAGTTACTTGAACTTCCTGAAAATTAGAAACTTGTCTTTTTATTTTGTTGTTTTAGAGACAGCTCACTGTGGAGGCCAGGCAGGCCTGGAACTTTGCAGTCCTCCTGCTTCAGCTTCTCCCGAGTGTGGGATTACAGGCATTATACTATCGTGCCTAATGGAAACTTACATTCTTGAAATAATGATGTTGGTGTGAAAAGGCAGGCAGTATGCTGGAAAAAAATATAACTCATAGTAAGACAAATGGTTGGTATCCATAATTGTGGTCCAGGCTGCCCTTGAACTTGTACTTCTTGCCCTCAGCCTTATGAGTTGCTGGGACTACAGGCATATGCTCATGCCTGGCCAAAGAACTCTTAGTAATACACTTAACTCAAATTTTACAAATCAGTAAGTTTTGAGCAGACATTTTATAGAAATAAATGGATGGTAAACCTGTGTAAACGTATTATGTCATTAATCATTGCAGAAATGCAAGTTAAACCAGAGTGCAATAGCACTGTATGTTTGTTATAGATGGGTTAGAATGAAAAAGTATCTGCTGAGAATATGGAGCACCTAAAACTCACATCCGGATGGTAGGTTCAGCTACTCTGGAAAACATTTTGGCAGTTATTAAAAGTTCTGTGTACCTACTGTGTGATGAGCCATTCTGCTCGTAGGAATTTTGAGACAGGGCCTTGCTGTGTAGTCATCCTGGGCTTGAACTCATATTGTAGCCCAGGCTGGCCTCAAACACTCAGTGATCCTCCTGCTCAGCCTCAAATAATGCGTTTTAAAATGTCTGTGATACGTCATTTGTGCTACAGAGAAGTAAAAGCAAAATTTCATCTTCTATATCATCTTCCTGATAGTTAATCATTTTGGTTTATAGAAATTTCTTAAATGGATCCTTGAAAGAGGTTAATGATACTGACTTCTGGGGGCTGGGGATTTAGCTCAGCGGCATAAAGCGCCTGCCTTGCAAGCAGGCAGTCGTGGGTTTGATCCCTGGTACCGATAAAAAGGAAAAAGACTAAAAAAAAAAAAGATACTGACTTCTCTGTCCATTATTATGTGGGTTAGTTTTGGAGTTGGGTTTTTAAAATTTGAAATTGTTACCATAGGGTCCGTCTGCAGTGGGCATAAGAAGTATCCAGGAGTTTGT